TTTAAACTCCATATTCCATTGATGTAGTATTTTCAGGGTTTAAGCATAAAAACAAGTGTAATACTGCTTTAAATTGTTGCTGTTTTTCCCCAAAAATGTAAAAAAAATTCTAAGTTTTTGTTTTTCTGAGCAAAAACATAAATATCATACATTTTTCCCTGATTTACAGAAGAGACCCACTAAAATGTAATTCAGTGTAACATTCTTGTCAGGCATATTTACAACAAAAATCAATTGTCAGTTAAATTATCAAGTTTAAAAAAAAACTGCATAAGTTGTGCATATTGATTTATTTTAATTTCCCCTGAAAAAAAAAAAAAAAAAAAAAGTATATGCAAGGATGTTTGGTTACATTTTGTATTCTTTTTTTCATGGTACTAAGTGTTATTTTCCAAGTGCTGGTATTTGAAGATTGCAAAGCTCTGCTGTTTCTGCTAGAAGGATGTAAAACCACAACCCATGTCTCTAGTTTAATCTGACTTCTACCTACTGCCTTTCACAGGTCATGTCAACTTGACCTCGCTTTGACGTCAAGTAATTTAGGTGGAGAAAAACATGTGCCCAGATGTATGAGACACAATGGGTAAATTCCTTTGACGTCTATCGATCAGACAAACATCTTGAGATGTTCTAAGAGGATGTAAGTCTCTACTATTTATATTATTCCAATTGGCTTTTCAGACAGCTTCTCCTTTTCCTCTGCTCACATTACATGCTCCAAAAGCCTGTCTTTTGACTTCTGAAGATTATTATACTTTGATTTTAAATTACGCTCTTAGAATTTTAGCAGAATATACTCAGTTTGGATTTTTGCATTCATTCTTAATCATTTCCTTTAATTTTTCATTTTTCATTATTATTATAATCTGTAATTTGTATCATCTATGATTTATTTGAAATAAATTACAATTTTACTGAAAGGCCTGGATCTCTCCATTGCATCAATTTCCAGTATACATTTACATGTGCTATACAGTCAAGTTAACACATTTTAAAAATCATGGACATTTTTTTCAGTAGTGAATATGAACTTTTAGTTTTACTCCGCAATGAAATATTTAATCAGCTAAATAATTATCTATTTATCTACAATATATATATATATATATATATACATATATATATATATATATATGTCACACC